TGTTCAGGCCGGTGCACACAGCACATATAACAATTCTCTTCTGCAGGACTTTTGTATGGTAAAAGGACAGTATTATGGGATTTGGGATTTTGCACTTGTCTCACTGTTCCAAGTTGCTAGTTCTCTTAATAAAATGTACCTTTCTTTCAAAATACTATGCAYTGAACTACTAGAAATATCAGTGATAAAAAGTGCAAATTTTCTTCTTTCTACGTAAATAAACTGCCAGTAGATATCAAAAAGCACACAATTGGTRTATCACATCTGCTGATGCAAGGTCTTTTGTACATCAACATGTTATCACTCATCTTTCATTCCCCCACCATGTAAATATTAACTCTTCTTTGCCATGGTATTAGAATATGTTTCCAGTTCAAAGTAGGAGTTTTCTTAGGCTATCTACTGAAAATATTCTAAATATTTTCCACTAAGCCATTACAAAAGTTTCACTTTGTGCTCAGATAGTTACAGTATCTACATTATGGAAGACACAGTAACATAACTGAGTAGCAGACTCCAAGGCAATTTCAGATGCCTGGAACTGACTGGAGCCGCTTTAGTCTGCAGTGTYGACACTGTAAGAAATGAAAGAGCAGAAGCCTTAGTTTGCCATCAGAAATCAAGTGCAGTGATGAAACTTTGTGACCAAAATCATTAGGCATTATGCAAGAGGGAAATAAAAAATTAAAACATTTGTTCAGTGRCTATTTAGGAGAAAAAGGAATTCTAATGTTTTATATAGGATTGATTTTAAAAGGACGGATTCTTCCCTAATGTTGCCACCTGCYCAAAAGTAGAGAAAGTCATAATGCAGATTGTTTTTACCCTTTACTCTAACATCTCATTGAGATCTATCCATTTGCTTAACCTGTCCCAATGCAGGGTATCAAAGCTTGAAAAACCCTGCCTTATATTCTCTCTATTTTCAACAAACTGGGYGTGGATGCACTGCAGAAATAGTAGGAAACACTGAAAAGAGATTTTTCTGGATGCCCACAGATGAGAGCTGCATCCCCTTCCTTGATACTCAGTTTTCCACTTCTGGCATAAAGGCTTGCAGTTAAACTCTGCTGCACAAGACATGCTTCYACAGAAATGATCATGGGGAATTTTTAAGCTAACGTTGCTATGGACAACACATGGATTCAGGCATCTTATGTGGATCTTTCTATAATGCTGGGGCCCCTCCTTACCCAACAGACTAAAATTTTAAGATCTATTACATTTTAGATGCTACCTTACTCTCTCTATTCTATATTTCTTCAGTATGTAAAGTTGGTAATTCTTCAAAGATGACTAATTCATTATAGGGATTTTAATTGGCAATACCTTGTAGTAACAGCAGTGCAAGGAATTACAGCATCAGTAAATACATCAGCCATTTGTCAAAAGAATTGCAGCATGATTTTCCATGACATCACTCAAAATCCAGCTCATACTGGCAAAAAACTCCAGCAAAACAGTGGGAAAGCAATTTCCAAACTTAGTTTCCCTCAGCAATATAAGRGTATTAGGCTAAATATGGTGAGAACAGATGTTTAATATGAAAGCCCCCAGCAGTTTTGTTCTGAACTAAATTAGTTTTGCTTAATAATAAACAAGTAGTTTGAGCACATAAGTAATAAATATTTGCCTGAATAACTTTTTGTTGATCACTAATGSTAGAGAAGGGGGAATAAGGAAGTTATAAAAATCTGTCACCTTGGCCATGCTTCAAAGGGTCACCTTTCAGAAGAGACTAAAAGSATTCTTTCACCAAAAACTCATGCCACTTCCCTATATGCTATAGTCCATCATGTAGCTTACACTGCCCAAGTAACTTAGGGCAAAATGATTTTATGTTTTAGCTCTCCCATTTTTGCATTTGGATAGAAAGAGTGATCRACATATTTATTCCAATTAAAAACATACACTGAAATGAAAAAAAWTTCACAAGAGAAAGGGCAAAAGCAGAGGTTTGAAAAGTGGGTGTGAAGAAAAGGATGAAGGTGAGTACTGTGAGACAAAAGAGTGAAGGCAATAAGCCAGCAAGGAGGAATCTGTTACRTTGAGACTAGTAAAGTTCTCTAAAATAAAGGAAGTAGCTTTTATAAATCATCTGTCTCTGAAATGTCATGCAGATAAAAGTGCTGGAGATACACAGGTAGCAGTAGCAGACTTCTGACAGAGTTTAGTTGTGGTTGCTGACAGAATGGGGTCAGCAGAACAGATTTCAAATAATGCAAGCTTTTCTCCTTTTTTTCCTCCAGTGTTATTGCTGGATTCAGAGATGCTGGTGCATAAGAAATCTTTAAAAAGAACATTGCTAATAATACGTTACGATGTCCGCAGCTGGAAGCTCCAGGGTAACTTTACAAGTTCATTTAGAAATTTGATTTAAAAATTTCAAGTGGAGAGATCTAATGCAAGAAAGGATAATCATACAACACTGGGTGAATTATATATTCTCTGGTCTATGGGATATCAGCATCAGTGCTGCTTTGCTGCTTWTGTCTCACCACAGAGAAGTGAGGTGTTCATCTCCTGGGGAGCACCTCTTCTAAAACACATGAATGGCAGCATAACGTTTTAAGCAGTTTAATCCTAAACACCAAATACTGCCCAAGTAGGATCCTTCTCACACAAGGAGTGGGGAGGAGGGAGTTCAGCAGAAAGAGGGGACCAGTCTCTGGAGTGTCATTGGTTTCAAGGGTTAAATTTAAGTTGGGATGGAGGGAGGAAAAGTGGATGACYATAAGCTACAGGGCCAAATCTTCTAAGCTGCTAGAAAAACCCGATGTGAAAAGAAGTGTGAAAAAGTGGCCAGAGAAGCTAAGTGCTGGCATTCAGAACATCACAAAAGAATGAGATTCATGCATTTTTGATTGATAAGGCAATATTGAAAAGCAGACCAAAATTCCACCAAGTACTGTGAAATACCATCACAGCCAGAATTCTGGAAAAAGTCTACAAACAACACTGGAGTCTGAGCTATGGCCTTACTGTCAACAAGGTCCTGTAATTTCTGCTTTTTGACACACATCAGTGCAGTCCCCAGAGAGTTCCCAAGCTCTCCTCCTTCAGCTCTGAAAAGACTTCTGCTCTTCCTGCTGTCTCCTGATTCCAAATTGTAAGTCAACAAGGAGCAATTTTGCAACATAAAAATATACTGCCTTTTTTGCACTCCTGACAGGTGGGATTGATTGGCAATATTTTTCCTCTTACAGAACATGGCTGCCAGCTTCACCAAAAAGCCTTGGTAGTTGGAAAGAATTTATTTTAGTCAGTGTTGTTATATAACATGTTGGCTTTGACAGAACCTGCCAAGGGAATTTCTGCTGCTGGGTGCAGCCAGCTGCTGCTGCTGTCTGCTGCAGGGTACTGGGTAAAGCAGGTCGGGAGAATGGTTTGGATTAAGAAAACTTCCCCTACACCAGAAGGGTTTATTGAAGGGACAGACTGTGAGATTAACAACATACCAGAGGAATTCCTGGAAGCTTCTGTGTAAGTGTAGTAAATGTGCTTGCTTGTTCCAGTCAAATCCTTGTGTGTCCTCAGGCCAAGATAGTGAAGAAGCTACAATCCAAATGCTAAACTATTTTCCCCTAAAATATTCCATGCCTCTGTCCKATTTGGAATTAYCKTGCTCTCACCTCGTTCTTTTACTCYCAAACTGAAACTTACTGTGTGTGCTTTGCACATTACAAGAGCATTTATAGCCCCTCGTTACTAAAGATCAGAGGAGTTTCAGCTAGGTCATACAGAAACATGGTGATATAAGGAATATAAACAACTTTAAAGCAAAGGACTGAATTTGAATTTCTTCTATTTGACACAATGTAAGGTCGTTTTTGAAGAACTGTTTATCTCCATACCCAGCAAAGCATTTAACTTCATCCTTAAGCAGTGCTCAGTAAGACTCAGTGAAATGTCAGAAGAGCCAGAATTTAGTGGGGTTYCATTTGGAGCTTTTGCTTTCACCTTTTAGAATAAGGCATTCTGAACATTAAGGACTTGTCTTGGGTCTCTTCTTTAGCCTTACTGTAGAGGTTTTCCTATAAAAGGAATAATTTTCAGCAAAGCACTGCAGATCATGGATCAGTTGAAGAAGATGCTGTGGCTCCAGTAGGGTCTACCTGGAGCTCCGTCAGCCCACGAACAGTGTGCGGCTCCGCCTTTGTGGTGCCCGCCCTGCTCAGAAGGCGCTGCTCGCCGACCTCAGCGCCGCTCCGGCAGCGGAAACGCGTCATGGCTCGCACCAAACTCGGATCGCGGGCGCACCTTCGGGACAGGGCTGATTTTGGACACAGTCTGGGACAAGTGTTCCCTGCCGGCACTTTGTGCCCCCCAGCGCGGCTCGCAGGCATAAACGCGCSCCCGCTCCCCGCACGGCACGCTGGCCGGCAGCGGCGGGGCGAGGCCCGGCCCCTGAGCTCACCCCCGGCCCCCGCCTCCCCTTCCAGCCGCCCGCGGCYCCGCCTTCCCGGAGAGCGACGCCCTCCCCGGCATCAGCGTGMGGTGCCGTGCTGCGGGCACCGCCCCGCCGTGCGACAGCGCAGCGCGCCGGGCACCCACGTGGAGCGGGCCGGCCGGGATGGGCAAGCGGCGAGCCGGGCGGGAGGTGCTGCGCAGCCTGAGCAAGAAGCAGAAGAAGCACCTGCGGGAGTTCGGCGAGGAGCACCCGTTCTATGACAAGTGAGTGCCGGGCTGGGCGAGCCCGCRCGGGGCCGCCCCTTCCCCGCGGTTCGGTGCCGGGGCTGCCGGGCCGAGGAGCTCCGCTGAGCCCGGGGCCGCCCTGGGCAGAGGCCGCTCCCTCTCACGCTTCCCCTGGCTCCCGAGGGAAGGAGGGCTGTTGCGGCTGGATGGCGCACCGCCGCTCCTGAGCTGGGAATCTCGAAAGCCGAACGGAAGGCAGGAAATCTCGGCTCGGATTTTCTTCTAASAAATGTAAACTTTTGTGGTGCAGTCCGGAGGAGTGGGGAAGCGGAGGAGTCCGGGATGTGCTCCCATTTTGATACCAGGCTGGTTCCYTTGGCTTATCAGGGCCCCAGTTTTCCCACCGTTTGCTCAGTTCCCTTTTCTGATCTCCTTTTTCGACCTTTCTTTTGTACCCACGTGTAAAGTTGTGAGGAAGGAGCTGCTTAGTCCAGATGTGGTGTGATCTGCGCTGGGGCTGTAAAGCTTTGGGAGCYTGCGAGGAAAACAGCTGAGTCGCCTGTTCAACATTAAATGACTTTAGGAGCAGGCACACGGTGTTAAGGTCTGTTGTTTGTGTGTCCCCTGGGACCCTCTGGGCCTGTGTGGATTGGGACTGAAGGCAGAGCCCTGGCGTGCTGGAGAGTGTGTCCTGCGCGTCACCCTGTACCGGGACGCTCAATCCCACGCAAGTCTCTGCTTCTTTCTGAAGGAGTTGAGGTTAGTTTAAATCCAGCTTGTGCGGTGGCTTGTTTGAAGAATTACAGTCCCAGCGCTGGTTGGTTAATGCTGTTTTCCCTTTAGTTTGTGTCTTTTCCCTATTGCACAGACCAGTATTAAGTGCCAGAAGTAGTCGCTGTCTCTGGTTAACTTTGTTACAAACCACTCTTGTTGCTAGATTCTTGTAATTCGTTTTGAGACCTCATCTTCTGATCAAAGCTGTATTTTACTTTAAAGCTTTTGTTGATCAGTCGTAATGCCTGAGCACTTAGGCTTGACCTAAATGAAGTTTCTAACTTTACCTTAAAGGTAAGTGCCCAGTCTTTTTCTAGGGAGAAATGTGATGGTTTGGTTTTAAACTCTTACCTTCTTTAAACTTGTCTAACTAATCAATTCACTCTTCCCCTCATTTCCTTCATCCCGTGTGTAATGTCATTGACAGAGTAAGACAATTCAGTGCTTTCTTTTCAGGGTTTCTGGAAGACCAGAAGCAACTCAAATATGTGAACTGGTAATGTATTAATGTATTTTGATTTCTTCCTTATTTTCATCTTTGTGTAGTTCAGTGAAGTGAAAAACTAAGCATTTCATATTACCAAGTTATTCAGGCTGATTAAGTTGTTCCATTTAGAAAAACAGTATTTAGGAGAAAAAGTTGTATGTGATTTTTGTGTGATTCTGAATTGTTCTCCATAATGTCTAATTCAAAACTGTAATACCATGAGAGGGCAGAAGCAGCAGGARATAACAGCAGTTCTTAACTTTTTTGCATATTACTTAGTTACAGTGAAATTTAGATCATTTTAAGTTGTTTTGATGACATTGATAAACTCAGTGTTGCATGAGTTAGGAGACATTTTGTTCTCTGTTGAACAAAGAAATACATTAATACTCATTCCTCTTCAGATTGCCAGTTCTTTACTTTTCTTTCAGTCAGGATTTGGTAACTCTTTATCATCAGATTAATAAAAGACTTCAAAGTTTTAGTTTAGAAAAATTTATTACTCTGTTTCATTTGTTTTCCTTATCAATTTTGTGCATTAATACAGTACTCACTAATTTTTTTTCKTTTTGTGCTAAAAGGAACTAAGAAAGGAGTAAATGGTGTGTTGATACTCATTGTTTCACTATAGTTTYGGCACATCTGGACATTGGTTTGTGCAAGCCTAGGACAGAATTGGCTCCAGGTCTGGCTTGCTTGAAGTATAAAGCTGTACTGCTGAACCAAACCGAACCAGCTCCCCGGGGAACCACTGAACTATTTCACTTACCTTCTTGAAAGCCAGAAACATTTCCAGCACAATCTGTCCCTTGTATAGGTKCTCTTCTACAATTTTCAATCTGTATGTGGTTTTCTTAGAAGAATCTAGTGCCAGTTCAGTAAATGCCTTGTCTCTGGAGATCAAATGTGCTCACTCAGCTGAGACTGGAGGCACTGGGTTTTGAGATGCTTCAAGTTAAATTGGTGTAGAACAAGGCACTTTAGTCTGTGTCCCAAGATGCTTTCAAAATCTAAATGGAGCTGTCCAGCATCATTATTGGCATAAAATGGTGGGTTTTGAAAAATTCCACTGGATCTACATAAGGGTTTCATGGGACAGGGGAAACWTAACAGTGCCAATAGAGGTAAGGGTATTTGCCTGCTGCTTAATATGGCTTTTGCTGTTGTTGCTGTTATGGTCGTGTTTTCCTTTCCAGTCTGAGGATTCTGATAAATCAAGTGCAGAAAGCGATTCGGAGACTGAAGTGGAACAGGTCTCTGGATATCATAAACTCTTGGCTACTCTGAAGACCTCACCTGAGTCTGAGAGTGAGGAAGAGGAAGATGAAAGTGAATCAGACGAAGCTGAGGAAAGTGAGGCAGAAATGGACAGTGAAGGGTCCCAGGAGACTGGAGAAGCAGAGGAAGGTGAAGAAGATAAGAATGGTGTTCCAGAGGAGGGAGAAGGTAGTTTATCTTTTCCCATGCTTCTTTGGTAAATGTTGTTTGAGTTTTTAGCTAGGATCCTGGTGTGGTCTGCCTTGTTGGCTGGGTGCTCTTCTGCCTTGGAGACTCTTGCTCTGTTGCCTCTCTGTGGGTAGGAGCAGCAGCTGCTGAAGGATTTAGCAGGGGAAAGGGTAGCTGTGCTCATTTTCTGCCAGACAGCTCRCTGCTGCTTCCTCAGATGTTGTTTGTGCGGCAGCACAGAGGAAATCCACATGGAGCAGCAGACCAGGGATTCTCACCCACTCATGGGAGACGCAAGCTGTTCTCTCGAGCAGCATCTGGCTTGGGCTGTGCCACCGAGAGGATGGAAAGGTTTTGCCTCACAGCACAGGAAAGAATATGGAAATTGGAAGGAAATATCTGCCCTTGTAGTGAGGTATCCTCATTCATGAGGTCTGCAAAGAAATGCTGGGAGAGAAGAGTTAACTTCTTATCATTTCCAGTTATTTAGGGTTTTTGGACCCTAAGTAACTAGAAGTTACTAGAACTTATATAATATAACTAGAAGTTATATTGCCCAAATAGGTCACTTCTTTAATTTTCTCTGGGGGACCACATTTTGTATTGTATTTGCTAGCTGAAAGTCATCTTTATGGTAGAATACAAAGCCTGCTTTTATTTTTTTTGATAGAGTTTGGGGAGAAAAAAGTTGGTAACTTGAAGGGAACAACTTCTATGAGCAATAACTTTTCCAGGAGAAAATAACCTGTTTCTTTCTAACAATTGACAGCCACAGACACAGCAGAGCAGATACTCAGTCAGGAGCAGGCTGATGGCACAGATACCTCTTGTGACCCACGTCATGGAGTAATKGAGGAGTTTACTGATGTGAAACATGAATCTGAATTTAGCTTGGAAACCAATTTCATGGAAGAGGAGAGTGGAGATTGCAATGCAGATAAGAGGGACAGCAGTTCGTCACAAGCTCTTCCACAAGGTAAAACACTGTGTGTTTGTGTTTAGGGATCTGCTTTTAGAGGAGTGTTTGTGAACATGTTCAAATTATCCAACACCCTAGTGACAGGCTGTATAGCTTCTGAGTTCTTCCACTGCATTATTCATTGTACTCCCACATGTCAGCTGGTTACATAAGGGACCCTCAACTAATGCAGATGTGTAGCTGAACCATTTGTTCTCTGTAGTCCCTAGGGACTGGGATTCATGCAGGGTTTTGCTATGACTGGTAAAGCTTGTATCAAGAGCTAGAAAAGCATGTAGAGGGTGTTACCTTGTTCTGATGCTTTAATAGTAGTTTTAAATGCCACTGTAATAGAAAGGGTTCTGCAAGCCTGAACTTGACTATGGAAGATATTCTTGGCACAAACAGCACAGGAGATAATCGCAAAGCTGACCTGTKAGGGCATCCTTCACATCTCAGTGGAGTTAGAGGTCAGATTCTGAGAAGCTTGGAGCAGCCACAGTAATTTAGACAAATGTTCAGGACACTTGGAATTTTGAAGGTTGTGCAGAGGAGTCTGACTGCACCAGGATCAGAAGAGTATGAAGCATCAGCAGAGCACATGTATCTTTTAAGGGTGTATCCCAGAATTTCAGTATACTGAATCTGTGTGCACAGATGCATCTGAACTCTGATGTTAGAGTCGTCCCACCGTATGTAACAAAATAACAAAATAACCGGTGTTGCACGTGTGTGCGATCCTTCAGTGACATGGCACACTTTGGCACTTCCACAGCTTCTGCTCATATTTCATGCTCTGTGGCTTTAATATCAGATGGCATAGTTTGAGAGAGAGAAATATGTTTGTAGCATCCCTAGTGATGCTGGCTTGTCATCTTGGAGCAGCAGCTGACATTAGATCTGGGAGGCAGCCTGGGTGATACATGAAATGTGTGGAAGCATCAAAGGGCCATGTGATAGAAAAAACAGCTCGTTCTTGTTACCATGAGAATATGACTTAGGMTGTTGGCATTGCATTTTAATGAGAACAGTAGCTCTCCAACTGCATGCTAAGTATCCTAACAGCTTTGTTCCACCTATAAATGATGCACTACTTCTCAGTGGGTTCTTGTAGCTTGGAAGTTTCTTGATAATCTATTGCAGAAAATTATTCACCTAAGATAGGAGAAAGGRGATGAGTTTCTGTTCTGGTCCTGGGGTCACTAAAATTCCTGAAAATGCATCCCATTACTCCCTCTACTTTATTGGGAAAATTCTGGAATCAGTAAAAGTCATCTGAGGAGAGAGCATGCAGTACAATTAAATGATAACCTGGTCATTTGCGTTTCTGGGAAGATTTTCTCAAATTTTTTTTTCAGTGTCATGATCAGTAAATGTCTTGACTTTTGCCTGGGTAACTTGCGTGTGGGCTGGATATTTGTTGGCAAGCACCAGTGTTCCCTAATTAGTTTTCTTTATGTAGYGAGTGCTGTGCTGCAAGCAGCTGTGCTGCAAGCAGCATGCAGGGCTTGGCTTTCAAAATAAGCTTTGCATGTGACTTTKTGCGTGCCACTGTCTTTGAGTATAAKATGATTTAACAGCTCTTTGCCWCTCCTTTCCTTTCCAAAAAGAAATGCTGATTAGATAAATCAGACTTTTTCTCACTTYGGGCAATTTTTGCCCCCCTTCTCCAAACTTGCCTAGTATCTCTCTGCTTTATTACAGTGTTCATATCACTGGCCAAAGCCCTGGGCAGAACTGTTTATAAATTGGGAAGGTTAGCAAATTCACTTAGAACTTTACTATTGACAGCTTTTTTCACCTGTAAGCAGTGGATGTTTGAGAGCTTAAGGCTAAAATTGCCACTGTTTTCCACTAYATGTTGTTTTCCTGTCTAACATTTGATTAGTGCTTCAAAATTCTAGTACTTCCATAAGTGCTTCTTTTTCTTTTTTAAAAGCAATCTGTCAAATCTGTTCTCTCTGTTCTTTGCAGAGARAATTTGACATCCTTTCTCTCATCTCCAAGTGCTTTGAAATAACTAGTTTTAATTGTGCTGTTGGCCAGCATGGAAACTGTTCATCTCATTTGCAAATCCATTCTGTAACTTGATTCTACTATTAGCTGCAATAGTTCTCAGGCTATTTTTTTGTTGTTGCTGTAAATAGATCCATTTAAACAGCACATGGACAAAGAACTTGATGATAAAGAAATYGAGAAAATGTCTACGCTTCCAAAAACTTCAAGTCAAAGCCAGGTAACAATGTTCTGTAGCCATCCAGGGTTTCTAAAGATGTCTGGATTAAAATAATCATTTTTTAATACAAGTGAAGTAGATCAAAATTGTTATTATTAGCTGTTGGCACTAGAATTATTGAGATTTTGTCACTGTGTTGTTGTTGAACTGTTTTCTTCTTCACTCACTGCTGAGCAAGTGTTGAAATCTGAAGTCTGCTGTTCTGGAGGCATATGGTAATACATCTGAAATACATAGCTTTTGAGTTTGAGCTGGAATCTCAAAACCTTGACATGGGGTAGAAACAGGGCTTGTTTCTGAGTGGTGACAGCRTGATGCCAGGGATGTGCTCTGCAGCTGAACTTTGGAGGTGACCATGTASACTTTTAAAAAGACTTGAGATGCGCTTTCACATTCTTGCTTCAGGATGGCTCTGTCCCYGTACACATTTACAAGCCAGTGAAGGAGAATTTATTATTTGTATTTTTAACTCTGATAATAATACATGAATGACAATACCAGAAAACTGCCTTATCGCTTGACAGAGAATATTGGTTTTCAAAATACTCATTTTTAGAGAAACTTTTGCTTCATAACTTTTCCACATCTGATTTTGTTCTGGAGAGTTGCCTTCCATTCTGGTCAGCCATATGCTGGGTGACATTCATTGGAAGATATCCAATGGTTAGTTAGTCAGAGAGAAAGCTGTGATATTTTTTTTCTTTTAATTTAATTTACTTTTTTTCTTTTTTTGGCACATGGTGGCCAAAATTATCAGTGTCACCTGAAGCAATGCATGATGTGTCTTTGCTTAAATTTGTGTAGCTACTAAATGGGGATAGCTGGGGACAGTTTGCCTGGCAGAAGGCTTAAAGATTAGAATTTTCCTCTGCTACACTGGTAGCTGTTCAAAATCAGACAGATACCCAACAAGATTGCATTTAGCAACTGAATCAAAACTTCTGGGATTAGCCCCTAATTGGTTTATTTTCATCTTTGATCAAAGTACGTACCTTAGTGGGGCCAATTGGTATAAGTGTAGTTGGACTCCAGGGTTCTCTTCTTGTCCCTACTTTGAGCCACTGATTTGTGGATGGGTTAGGCAGAAAATTCCTYAGTTTTCTGTGAGATGGAGACAGTTACAGACACATCACTGCAAAATCCATCCAGATTTACTGAGCTCGTTTATTGTTATTTATCCTGGCAGACTGTAAAAAGAGATTGTGTGTTGAAAGAAAGGCTTCCACTTGTATTATGAAAARATAGTATCCTTAATTTCATGTACTTGATTAAAGTTGGCATCACCAGCTGTGGTGATATGCTTTCAGGTGTGTAAGGCTTGGTATATTTGTCTCCTCAGTGTTGTTGGCTTATTTTTTTTTCAGTGGCCAAGGCTGGGTCAACTAATTTTTTCTTCCACATTGGAGAAACATAAAACTTTGAAAGTAGACAGAGAAGTTGATGTGAAACAGCTTCATCTCCACAAGCCTTTGGAATCCACTTGGCCAAAAGTGAATAAACAATTTCTGTCCTCACTGGACAAACCAAGTGATTCCCCTTTTACCCCACTACAAAGAGAGCTCTTCTGTGTCATGAATTCRTACCGGGACTTGTTCTATCCGGAAAGAAATGCTTTAACAAACGGAGAAGAAATCCGGCACGCTTACTGCCTGCATGCCTTGAACCATGTCCTCAAGGCCAATGCCCAGGTGCTCAGCAACAATGCCAAACGGAGGGACCGAAAGCCAGGGACTGACACCGATGACTACAGGGATCAGGGGCTCACTAGGCCTAAGGTGAGAGAGCTCTGATTGCCTGACCCCACCCCGGCTGCCTGCTCAGGCTGTACAAACATCCTGGTGGTTTATCCGTATGCATTTCTGTTGCTGCTCTCTCAGGTGACGTGTTCCTGGGCACATGCTTTTCCACATCCCTTTATTGTGCCTGGAAGATGTCCTGCATGGGCAGGGCAAATGCCCTGCAGGAAGCTTCCTGTTGAGCAGTTCCAGAGTTTGGTTTCAATGTCTGCTGTATTCCTGGCAAATCTTTGGTTTCTGTGTTGACCCCCTCAGTAGCTAGTTATATTTAGGAGTTCGGTGCAGAGACTGTTGCTGCCCATCCAAGAGCCAGGCCTTGACCCTGCCTCTGGGTCATAKGAGCTCTTGCTTGCCTGGGGGTTAGGGAGCACAGGAGAATGTGCTTAGTTTTTAATTCCCCTCTAGTGCTACCCTCAGTGAGCTGGGGAGCCAGAGCTGCTCGCCCCTACCAGTTTAGGAGAGCACAATCCATCCTTGTGCATCCTCCCTGCTGCTTGTCAGAATTGTTTTGTTTTGATTGTTGGGATGCCCCACGGGGGCAGATCCAAGCCAAAAGTTGAAATTAACAGAGTTGATGGTGAGTGTTCATATTTTATGGGTTATTCTCTTGTAACTGTTGATCTGCACAGGTACTGATGATCGTGCCCTTCAGGGAATGTGCTCTGCGAATTGTGCATATTTTCATCAGTCTCCTGGAAGTGAATGACAAAAAGAAAATTGATGTAAGTAATAAAAAGCGCTTCAAAGGGGAGTTTGGCTCTGACCCAGAAGAGAAGCCTCCCAACCTGAAAAGRCCTGAAGATTATGAAGCTGTCTTTGCTGGCAACATTGATGACCATTTCAGAATTGGTAATGACCTATTGAACAGATGACTTTGATCTTGTAAAGAGCTGCTAAGTAACATTTTCTTCCAAATGCCTAGGAGCTATSGGGGTTGGAAGTTCTGGTGAGACTCTAGGCTGTGTGGTATTCCTGCTGGTTTTGCACTGGCAACTTGGATTGTTCTGAAAATCTTTCTTGCTTTGTCAGGACTTAAAAAGAAAATMGAAAAGTAATTATTTTCACATCAAGTTCAGAATCATTTAAAATGCAATGACAGCTTTATTCTAGCAGGACTGCCCACACCTCATTTTTAAGATAGCCTTGATTATGCAGCAAAGTCTTTTCATGTTAAAAAAAAAATCTTTTGGGTTTAATTAGCCTGTTCACAATACCTCTTGTAATGGTTGGAATAAAATTAAAGCTCAGTACTGAGCAAAGCAGTTTTCTGCTGTGCTTCACATGGTTTTCATGAAAGCAAATGGRTAGCCAGCAGTAGGAGTGTTGGACAAGCAGAAAACTTGAGACTGTTTCATAATAKTGTACTCTTAGGCTGTTTAGTAACTCAGTATGCAGAGAACTAGCTATGGCTTGGTTCCTGGAGCTGCCAAGATAAGAAGGCAGTTTTTCTAACTTGACTTGACAGATCAGAGGCTTTTGAAATACTGCACCTTGAAAGATAAATTGGCACCCCAAGAAATGTGATGATAGAGTGGAAGATGTGAGCAGGTTGCACTCAAGTCTTTCTTCCTTCCCCAGTGAATATCTCTCAGGCTGAAAGCATCTTACTTTCCATAGTATAATTTTCCTTTCAGTCCTCTCCCATACTACACTCTGCTTGTTCCACTTACTAAGTGTTAAGAAATGATTGAAGAAACTTTCAGTGCTGTTAACTTGCAGAAGGAAATTATAGAAGCAGAATAATTTCTCTTTTTTACTGTGCTGCATACCCTGTTACAKCTGCACAAAGATCTAATTTAAAGCACATTTGTTATGCCTTACTGAAACCACCACTCTTTCACATTTTTAAACCGAAAAAAACCGTGATGTTTCTAAACTGTGTATATGCTGTGACAAGTGATATCTTCTTCCTGGAAATTCAACCAATTGAACCTTTTTTTTTTTCTTTTTCCATTTTTATCATTGGGTTGAAATAGACAGCAGGAGGGGTCCCTACTGCTGTGTCTGAAATTCTTGGAAGGGCCTTCARCTATACTCGTGATTTCTGGTTTCACATGGACTAGGAGAGAATTTGGAAAGACTTTGATGGGCAGTTTGTAGAGGGTGGTTTGAATGTGGCCTGGACTAGCTGGATTTTTTTAAGATCAGAAAACTGTGGGTTCTAGAAATACTGCTTATGTAGTTATGGCACAAACTCCTTTGATTCCTTCCYTTTCCTGTCTATAACATGACAGGCGATGCATAAGCTGGTTCAGAATGTACCCTGCAATGTGTGGTGTGAGAAGCAGTGTAGGTGCAAGACTGCTCATGCTTTTCGTCACTATGATGTGAAGAACCTTGTTCTTTGTGGTTTAGTAGCGAATCTTTCAGCCCTGCAAATAAAGGCAGTTGATAGTCACGAGGTCCACCCCAAATCTTTCATGACAGATTACAGTAGTAGTTACTGTAATACTGAAAGGCAGAGACCAAAGCTTAGAATTTAGGGAGAAAGGAGTAGTTAATCATTTCTGCATTTTTTTTTTCTCTAGTTGTTCAGCATTCATCCCCCTGTTTTGTAGCAAATCACAAAGAATATGTTTCAATTAAAACATTTTGTGCAGATTATGAAAAAGCTTAAAAGAAGTAATATGGAAAGGCTTTGCCAAACTTCACAAAAACTTTCCAAATCCTTGTCAAATGGGGGTAGGGTGAGTAAGTACTTTTTGGGGAAAGGAGAGCCTCAGACAGATTAGTTGTGTCCATCTATAATCATCAGTGTGGGGAGAGAAAATGGGTGGAATTACTGTTACAGAGCCTGTTGGAAGAATGTAATTGATAATTGATGTTAACTGAGAAGTTGCTGTTGTTGTTGTTGGACAGGGGTTGCRATTCTGCAGAAGAGCATGAGACTCTATGCACCCTTCTACTCCTCAGACATCATCATTGCCTCTCCCCTGGGCATCAGGACTGTCATTGGCGCAGAGGGGGAGAAGAAGAGAGACTTCGACTTTCTGTCATCCATAGAAATGCTCATAATTGATCAAGCAGACATTTACCTGATGCAGAACTGGGAGCACGTTCTGGTGTGTTTGCTGTGTGTGTTCCTTTTTGTGCTGTGCTCTGTCTTGCTACTCTGATGTCACCCAGTTCTGGCAGTGAGCAGTATTGCTGTTTTTTATTGACATGATTCTAAGCATGGATGTTKGTTTCTGTTCCTCCCTTCACCCTGATATTTCCCTTATACTAAGGATATCCTTTCTACGGATTTTTGTACTATTCAGGAAATGTTCTCTCTAAAACTTAGTTTGTGCTTTAGTAGCATATTTCATCAGAGGTATTTTTTTACAGTTTTAATTATCTTGAGATGAAGATAGCATGAGATAATGATGATTCCTTTAATCACATCTGGGAGAAATTATGCCAGCTGTCTGACTGCCCAGTGTCTCAGTCAGATTGCAGCCATGTGAACAATCTGTACAACCCAATTCAGGTTCCCCCAGAAAGCAAGAGGAGCTGGTGCACGTCTCTACTGAGTGCAGAAATACTAAGTATTAGTCATGTCCAGAGTTAAACTGTATGGAGGGTTTCCTGTATGTTTAATGAAAATAGATCTGTTGGGTTGTAGCTAGTATGTAGTAGTACCCCTGCTTTTTGGCTTTTGGTTAATAGAAGTTTTCGGGATTGAAATGGTAGGGTTTTCTTTTCCACATAAAAACACCTCTGAGATACCTGGATCAGACATTTTGACTAAATGATGTTACTATGCATTTTGGATGAGTCCAGAAGGTTGTCTTTCCTCAGGAGTCCCAGAAAGGGCACATGAGCTTACACGACACTCAAGGAATTAGTCCTGGAGCCCATTTCCTCTTTTTACCTTTGGGGGCAGCTGCCTGCCAAGTGGTGACAGGGATGCCAGTTCTAGGCATCGTTCCCTGAGGGCAAAATGCGGTGAATTTCTTTAAACTCTCCCTGAATGTGATGAGAGATGAGCTGTGCTTGGGCTTCATTTAGCTCAGAAACCATGGGCCCACTGACTTTATTACAAACAAATTCATTATACTTGCCCTGGGAGAAGACTGGAAGGAGAGGTTACTGTTCCTGGTGACTAAAGAGATGGTAGCTTTCAGTTCTGTGGCAGGAAATCAAGTAAATTGCTCTTGCTGTGGTCAATAAATTCCAGACAGTGGTGTTTTGGGAGATGCTGCTTCTTTGTATTCTGTGCTGCCTTGCTGGTCCCTGCCCTCTTTCCCAGTGCAGCTGAGGCTCTTGCAGGCAGTGCAGGATGTCAGCAGTGATGTGTCTCCATCTGTCTGCACAGCACCTGATGAAGCACATTAACCTTCTGCCTCTGGATTCCCAYGGGGTGGACTTTTCCCGGGTGCGGATGCTGAATCTCAACAACTGGTCCAAGTACTACCGGCAGACGCTGCTGTTCAGTGCRCTCCAGGACCCCCAGATTAACTCTGTCTTCAACAAACACTGCTTCAATTACGTTGGGCAGGTGAGTCCACAGAGGAGCTGGAATGTTGGTGTGGAAGGGAGGAGGAGAGGAACAGAAAACAACAACGTGAGGAAAAATTCTGTAACTCAGTTGCTGAAATAGAGCGTGTGCCTATCATTTCCCTCAGCTAAATGTTTCAGTCTGAATCTCCTGGCATACTGTGCCAGAGGCATGAAGAACTGCTCCTTATGCAGTGATGCTTGTTTGATCCTTTTCWTTCATAGTAGCTACTGTTTCATGTGAGAAATGGGATTTTGGTTTTTTTAATTTGACAGTCTCAAGTTACCTTGTTTTGTATATTTCATTGTTTAATGGAGAGTTCATCTTCTTCCTTTTTTTTTAATCTCTTACTGTGTAAGATGCATAAATATTTTGAAAGAAATGGGAAAAGTAAAAATTTTAGACCATCTCAAATATGGGATTCAGGGCATAAGCAGTCATCATGTATTTACCAGATCCAGTATGTGTAATAAACAGCTGTAATTTTTGTTCTGGAGCTTTCTTAAAAGCAGCCTTGTGCACTGTATTAAATATGACTACGTAAAGCTGGCAGCAGCATGCCTGTCTCTRGAATGCTGCTTCCCTAAACATCCTGCTTCCTTCTCACAGGTGGCCATTCGCAATGTGCCTCTCACTGGTTCCATCAGCCACGTTGTGGTCCAGCTTCCTCATGTTTTTCGGAGATTAGAAGCTGAAAGTCTAACTTCTGTGATAGATGCAAGGTATTGTACATTTTCATTGGTTCTCAGGTGTAGGCTGGGCTCTGCACTGGTGGAGGAGAATTGTGGCCTTCTCCTTGCCAAAGGCACTGGAGTATACAGTCTGGGAAAGGAATATCAGTCTCTGCCATAATTGCATAGTGCTGGTAAAGCCTTTTATCTGCTATACAGGTAGAAATCCTGTGAAGTTGAGGAAAAATGTAGTGAAAATCTTTGGTGATCTGTTTGGTGATATTCATGTTGGAGCACGTATGAGTATATGAAAACTAAAGTTTAACTCTTGTTAAAACTGACTTGTTTTTTTTTTAATGGAGGTTTCAGTTTTTCRTTGACAAAGTTCTGCCCGAGTACCGCGATGCCATCATGTCCCACACGCTCATTTACGTCCCGTCCTACTTCAGCTACGTGCGCCTTCGCAACTACTTCAAGAAAGAGGACCTGAATTTCACTCACATTTGCGAATACACTAAAAAGGCTGCTGTCTGCAGATCAAGGCGCTTCTTTCTCAAGGGAGAGAAGCAGTTTTTATTGTTCACTGAACGTTTCCACTTCTACAAAAGGTGAATTGTGGACCAAGTTTTTCTGAGTTGTGTGTGTGCTGTTTTGAAGGTAGAGTCTGACCTTAGTCATAGATGGGCTGTGCTGCTTTATGAGTCTGTTGGATCCCTCTGAGAACCTTTTTGACTGAAGTAAGAGCTGTTAAGTTTACTTCAAAGTTTTTGCCAGTTGTCAGCAGTCCATTTGCAGAGACTTTAACAGTTCGGTATGTGCAAAGCTTTATTCAGGAAGGTAAGTGCTGCCAAGTTCCAGTGATACCAGGACAGGATGATATAGCCTGCAAATGGGATTCATTGGGCCTTTTATTTTTATTCATCTGTACCACAGTAATTGCATAAAATTTTGGAAAGGATATGTAATTGTTTCAGTAATGCAATGCAGCAAGCTGAGGCCCCTAGGAAAATCTGCTACATCCTGACTGGAGCTGTTTACAAGTTCCTAATGGAACAGGATTTTTTTCTATTAACAGATGTTTTGGCAAACATGAAAGTTTCATGAGGCTTGGTCTGATCAATCTTCACTGTATTAAAATCCAAGCTAAAGTGGCTGACTGCTTCATAAATGGGTGGTGGTTGATAATTCAGAGGAAGTCATTGTGCCTGGTAGTGTTGGATTTTCCCCCTAAATTTCACTTCTCTGTTTAGTCTTCAGTTCATGACACAGGCTTTGTAGAGTTGGAGCTACAGCTGATGTGCATTGAAGTTGATGGAAATTGGAAGAACTGATGCAGGATTGATGTTTCAACATGCACATTTTGTGGAATTTGCAACAAATTTTGTTTTTTTCCTACTACAGGTATACGATAAAAGGCATTAGGAACCTCATTTTCTATGAGTTACCAACRTACCCCCACTTCTACAGTGAGATTTGTAATATGCTGAAGGCCACGGATAATGGGGTGGATGCTACTTGGACTTGTACAGTGCTCTACTCCAAGTATGATGCTCAGAAATTGGCTGCAGTGGTTGGCATAGACCGTACAGCTCAAATGCTGCAGTCCAAGAAGGATGTGCACCTCTTTGTCACAGGAGAAAATGATTAAATGATTTTACAGACTGGRTGATTGGATGGACCTGCATTTTAACTCCTAATGCAGATTTTTATCTTGCTTTTTAGAAAAGTGTTWAAACTTTTTACTCCCTTTTGTTAAATATTAGGTTGGAATTGTTCATACAGTATTAAATTTTGTATTTTGGTATTCTGCAGAACAAGAAAAGGATGTCATTCAAAAAATACAGGGCTTTGGAGGTGTTTTCTGTGTAGAAGCAAAATCAATCCAGAACTATTTTTCTTGTATATTAAAAAACTCGTGGGTCAGTAAAGATTCATGCAGTAATCAATAGCTTGTGATTGGGCTGTTTCATTTCATTTTCAGGTGAAGCAAGCTCCTCTTCTTTTCTCAAAGGAAAGTTCTTCCTCTAGTCTAGGATAAAAAAAAATGCCCAAGTATTTAATGAGTTACTATTCTGCAAACCTACACATGGGAGGTGCAGGCAAGGCTTCTTTAACACAAGTGTGTTGCTGAATTGAGAGTTGGACTTACTTCAAATTAACACTTGTGAGAATCCAAGGAGCTATGGTTTTTGTGTTCTGCCTCCTATTTCMAACAGGCCCTCTGGCTGGTCAGTTTTACCAGGGATAAGTACAAAGCCAGGGGATCCAGTTACAAATACCCATGGTCTGGTATCTCACACCAAAGGTGGAGGTGAGGTGGTTGGTGGTCTGGCTTTTTCCTCTWGATGGTTGCATATGGACAACATAGAAGCACCCTGGTTTTCTTTTYCTTCTTCCAGGAAGCTAAAACCTGATTTAAAGGGAGCTAAAAGTAGAAAGATTAGTTTTTGTAAGCACGTGCTAGGACTGCAGGAAGGTTGTTCTCCKTAGGGGCAGGTGAGTGTAGGAAGGAAACATCCACCCTGTAATAAGCTTTGAGGGAGTTCTTGTCTAGGAGGCTTAAGTAAATACACCAAAGTGAAATACACTCCTTGAGTAAATGAGGCACATAATTTCTGCTAGTTCTTGTCATATTCCTGATTCCTGTATTCCTCAAAAGCTGTGAACTTGGGTAATTATCATTTAGTAGATGTGAAAATCCATGCGGTTTCTCACTTTGCATTTTAAGTAGTGATGTCTATTAATTTTACATACCTCTGCTGTGGCACACAAGAATTAAGAGCCAGCCCCAGCAAATATTTCCTGGTGGACATCTGTCTCCTGTACAGCACAGACAGCAGTAGCAGCAAACAAGGATTTTTGTTGTATGGCCCAGGCTGGATGTTGGAGAATTGTGGCTGTGCATATGAAAACAAGCCCACAAAATAGGATTAAGGAATTTTCTCTCTACACCGGATGTACTTAGCAGAGATAATAGCTGACCTCTGAGGAAGCTAAAGTGGGATAGCTGCTTAGGGAGATAACATGATGCAGTGCAGCTCCTGTTTAAAGAAGCAGCAAGAGTTTTGTGCCAGAGCCTTAACTCTGCAAGGATTTTTCTGCTCACACTGAAGTTAAAAGAAAAGTGTCTTGATGCAAGTAAGGCCAAACTGTAGACAGAGGCCCTCATGATTTTTTTATCAACTACCTGGGTTTSTTCCTAAGACAAGTATACTTGGAAATTTGAAATGGATATACCAGTGTCACATTTCTGATGTTGATTACTAATTATAACTTGCTGATTGCCAAAGCAGTGTGTAAAAGCCTCTTCACTCCCTTCAGTAGGTGCTCAGAGCTGCCGGCACAGAGCCTTGGAGAGTTTGTGCATGAGTTTTTTGTGCCCTGACAAATTCTTACTTCCGTAGTAGGGAGCCTCATCAGCCAGCACTGATCCTAGGCAGGAATTCTGCCTAGGGGGCTGTGGTAGCAGGTCAAACAGATTTGCTGATATGGGCAGCCCTTCTCTGTAATGGTGTGAATGGTTTTTCATCACCTTAAATAATTCCCTGGTGCCAGAGACAAAGTTCCTGGGACATGGTGAGCATCAATGTTAGAGTTTGGCCCATGCTGGATGTGTGTTCATGGACACAAGTGTTCTGTTTGCTGGGATACCTGCTGGCTCCAGATGAGTTACTTCAGAGCCCATCTTCGTGGTGGCTTTCAGAGGGATGGCTGAACCTCACGCATTTGTGTGGGGGTACCAAGTCAGTGTTAGAAATGGAATTTTATAGGTTTTTTTTTTAGTTGTTCAATGTTTGTTTGAATTCTGACAGAAATGGAATAAGAAAGGTGTTAGCAAATAACGGTATCTTACCTGTTTTTATTTGGCAGCATGCAGTCTCTGCAGGGTGAGCATTCTGCCATTTTTTCACAAGAATGCATCAACGACAAGTATTTATCTCGAGGAAACAAATGTAAAACAAAATCCTGTTCATTCTGACCTCAGTACCATACCGTTGTGGGGGTGATGGTGTTCTTAAGAATTCATTTTCTGGTCATTGTTTCAGGAGGATCTCTGAGTGCTGACAACTAATCCTGTATTCTTTGTGAAATGTGCTGTACCACAGTGTGAGAGCCAACTGCCTGTTCCAGGCCTTGGCTGCTAACACGCAGGAGTGCCAAAGCATTAGCACTTAACTTGGGGAAATTCAGACCCGAGGGTAAAAATAACTGGGGTTGAGATGTTAAACAAGAATTTTTTCTCAGTATCTCCTGCCTCAGGAAATTTCTAAGGAAATCCTACTAATGGATGACCAAGAGAAAGGCATACCTGTCTCTGTAGGAAGATTGTTCTTGCTGCTAATGAGTTCATGTTCTAGTGGATCATTTTTTCACTAGCAAAACCTAATTGGGATAAGAGGTCTATTACATTTTGTTGCTCCTTTCAAAGATGACAAAAAGGCAATTTTTTTCTTCTCTGAAAATGTATTTGCAGGATAGGAGCCAGCCTTCTGCTGCTGCCTGTATTAATGCGGGGGAGGGAAAGAAAGGTGACTTCGGGACAGTCTGTCTCCGTGCTGGAGAGCTGCTTCCCGTGAAGAGGCAGCTTGTTGGTTTTGCAGCAGTTATTGGGAAACATGGGAAAAATCACATGAGAGAGAAACTGGAGCATTCCTGTTAACAACAGCAGAATTAACAATTACTTTACAGCTGTGCTGTCACAGGCTGCCAGGGTTTCTCRGCTCTGCATTAGTCATGCTCCATGGCCTCAGCCCCAGGAGTTGCTCTCCAGGGTTTGGGGCTTTTTTTGGCTTGGTAACCAAGTGTGTATGRTGAAATAGTTTGTGGAGGGGGCAGTTCAGAAAGCACATCCACACCATCATGGGGGGTTGTACAAGCAGCCTGTGCAGAGGGAGGTTGGTGTGAGCAAGTGGAGGATGGGGACAGTCCCTGCTGCCCCCCAGCTAGCTGGACTGTCTCCCAATGCCTGGAGATGGCAGAAAGGGCTCCTTCCTCCACCACAGGGCTCTGGTCCTGCAGGTTCTGCACTGGGGAGGAAACAGGTGCTCTGGGGAAGGTCACTGGGGTCAGCCCTCATCTTCCCCTCTACAGAGATGCCAGGTAATCCTTAATCCCACAGGGAAGGCAAAGGTGCTGCTGGGAGCCCGGGAAGGGGAGAGCACCAAGCCAGAAGCCTGGCTGGAAAACACCACACAGGGTTTAGGATACATGTGTATTACTGTAGCCAGAGCTCCTGCCCAGCTGGGTGCTAGAGCCAAGATATAGTTCAGTCCCTGTGGCTTTGCATCTCATCTTCTGTGCTGACCTTGACAGTAAAGGGTAATTAGCTCAGGGCTGGTTGTGTTTTAATCGACCATTCGCTTCAGTGGTGCTTGAGGGTTGCTTGTCTCATCAGGTGGACTGAGAGTTGGGCTGAGACCACGAGCTGTGGGGTGGATAAACAGCTAACAGGTGTGAGCTTGTAATGGGAATTAGCTGCCTGAAATGGAGATGCTGGAATGGCCCTAAGATTGAGTGGTACTTAAGGAATAAATATTGGTTTATGTGAGAGAGGTGCAGGAATTTCAGTAAAGGAGGTGAGAGAGATCAAGGTAAGGCACAGAAAAACAACACCACACAGGATGGTAAACATGGAACAGTTGACAATATAATTATGTAGCTGCAACTAAAAACAGAAATTTGTCCTTGTTCTTTCAGACAAAACAGGAAAATCACACTGAAGTCTAACATGCTGTACATGACATTACATTTCCAGGGTCAAACTCTAACTGATGATAGCAGCATAAATCTAAAGAGATGTTGCTAGAATTGCTAAAACAGAGGTTTATCAGGGTGCTGTAAGGTCTCTTTTTAGCCCCTCCTTTACTCTTCTACAAAAGGAGGACTTGGTAGCTGGGACCATAACTGAAAAGCCATCACCGGTACCTTGTCATTACTAATCAAGAAGCAGAAATTTCCATTTTATTTACTTGCCCTGGGTACCAGGTGTCAAAAGCCTTCATAGACATTTAATTAGCATGTTACTAAACAGAATTTAGTTTTTATAGTGTATATATTTTTAATCAAYGCAGGAAAAGCTAGATCAGTTTTGTACCAAGTCATGAGCCTAGATATGACATTGATAAATGGGAAACAATTAATACAATTTATTTGTATTTTACAAGTTTTTTTTGAAAAGTTCCTTGATAAGGGGAGCTTATCAATTGTTTGTGAGGGTGGAAGGATCATAGCAGCYCATTGCAACAAGAAGCTCTAAGTTACTCCATGCCATAGCACGCACTATCACATTTCTCTCTCCAACAATATTCCCTATGTTGGCCTGGTCCCTTTCATTAGCTTAATCCCAGAATTAATGCCCCTTTAGCCTGGAAAAGAATTTGAAAGGAGGGGAGCTTACYTGGCCTTGCAGCTTTTTGTGGCTGAGCTCAATAGGGAAGACCCATCCGGAAAAGTGCAGTGGAGCATCAAGAAATGGATGATCAATCAGGAGGTGTCTTTATTAAAAGACGCCTTGTGGGTTCTTCTGGTGTAGCCAGTGCTGAGTAACTGGATAATAAACCAGATTTTCTGACAGCTCATATTTCTTAGACATCACTGAACACAGCACTATGACTTAAACATTAAAATTACCTGCTCCTAAGCATGGTCTCACAATTTCTCTGTTAAATTAAAGGGCATGTTTAAATTAACTTAAAAAAAAATAAAAAAAGACATTTGAGGTGGCAGGTCTGTAGCTTGGGTTACTTCTGCTCTGCTGCCTATTGCCCTCCCAGRGCAGAGGAAGAGCTAGTGGTAATTTGCATCACCTCTTCTGCCATTCCAGTTTCCTCAGGCTGTTTTGTGCTTCATYTCTTCCTCCCCTTCTGCCACATGGGTATTGTCAACAGAGTTGGGTGGAATGCAGTTAGATGATGGTAAAATGCAGCTAACCCAGGAAAGAGCCCCAAAGGAATAAATTAGTGTCTGAATTAATTCCTGCTACAAGCTGGAAGTTCTCCAATAACTTCAGAAGCTGTTTCCTTTAGTCCAAAGGAAGGAGAGATCATTCAGAGATGGAGCTGCAGAAGCTCTTGAAGGGCTTACAAGCTTTGTGAAGCAGCTCACCTGAACTGCAGGCACGGGAATATTTGGTGGAATCAGCCCGTGACAGACCGGGAGCCCGTGGGCACGAGGAAGGCCACCTTGTCCACATTGATGAGAAGAACTGAAGTAAAAGTYAGAGTCACAGTAAGGTCCTGTTCCAAAGAAGGAAGATCAAATGATAGTTCTCAATATTTGAGCACCTAAATGCACCACATGAAGTACTTTTGTGAGGGAAAGCACAGCAGGGCAAGTCTGTGTTACTGGAAGGAATCTCACAGAGTGGGGAGGTCCCATGGCAGTTCTGCCAGCACAAGGGGCAGGATGTTTCAGGCAGTGCTGAAACAAGGAGCTGTCAGCACCACCAAACAGCGCCACCAAAGCAAAGCTACAGAGCACCAAGAGAAGAGCTTCCTCCTGGGAGAAGTCTTGACTCTAGGGACTTTGCTGCACTTCTTTTAGAGGTACAGAACAGAGAGAGCATCAAACAGAAGCAGATCCAGGGGTTTCACCGCCCCCACCCCCCCCAAACTTTGCAATAGGGAAGAGATTAATGGCATAAAGTGTATGCSCAGAGCTCTAAAATACGTCTTTTTTTCCATCAGTCAGATGCAATTAGGTATCCTTACCCTTCTGCTGACTTCTGCTTAAGGGAGGAAAACAGTGAAGAGCCTCTTCCCTCTAGAAACCAGTGAGGTCTGAGACCAGCACACAACAAGCAGTGAAGAAGGGTGCAGTCTCCACCAGGCTGGGGAGATGGAGCAAGAGTTGCCCTTCAGGTGTCACCCATTTACAATAAACAGATCTACTGCTAGTTTAGGGAGGATTACACCATGTAACCATGTGTTGCTTTTTATTTTTAATTTCACCCCTAGTCCTTCCATGTTTTTATTTCTTGGAGGGCGGGCTGAAGCAGAGTTYAGCAATGCTCACAGGTGTGGTACAGTAGTTTTGTGTACAGTGGTGAAACCATGGTGGTTTTGCCCTTCTAAAGCAGAAAAAAGGAAAGAGCAGCAGGACTTGCCTGGATGTTTTGTAGCAGGAACCTCAACAGCCTGTGGGAGAGTAAGGTTAGTCTKTTCTTGGTATTCTATTTTATAAAAGTCATGGAAATAAAGAAAATATATTCAGCAGGTATCATAGAGGCATCAGTGATCATATCTGCTGGGAAGTTCTGTTCTTAAAATTCTGGCCTCATGTGGCAATTTTTCACCTTTTTCTCTTGAAAGAAAAGATAGCATCTTCAGCGGGCAAAATGCAAACACGTTTCACTTGCAAGTGGTGAACAAGGGGCYAGGACTTTTCAGCAGGTTATGGAGCATCTGATACATCACTTTACTGAACAAGATTTAGAACAATCAGAGGAGAGCTTTTTGCCTCAACTCACCTTCTGTGTGAACTTTTCAAATGCTCGTGCTCGTGTGTAGTAGTAAATTAAACAGATATAAGGCTCCAGCTTATAGAAAACACACACAAAAGATATATTTAGGATAACTTGTTTCAAACTCTTTGGCAACATGCTTTTTTTTCAGTTCTTGGATGCAGAGGCTCCTTGAAGGCAGGTGTAGAGGGTTTCCTGTCGTGGTTTCCCTCCTCAGGTGCTCTGACTGGAGGTTCTGGGACACTCAGTTTCTC